TGTGTGTGTGTGTCTGTATTTCTGTAAAGAAATATGAGCATATGTGAATAGATGGATGGATTTTTTTAAAAATTGCATGATTCATGAGATTGCATATGTGAGATAGGTGGCTATACAAATCAAATTATAAATAAGTCCAATCAAAAATTGCAAAATTATATTTTAGTAGATTATAATTGAAGGAAAGAAACTTAATGAAAATGTCTACTCACACTATTTTTTCTAGTTGAACAGTAAATGTATATATTTGCAAGGGTTTAAACTTTCTAAGGTTGCAAATATCTATTATATGGTTTTTCCAATTTTTTTTTTTTTTTTTGCCAACAGATATATGATCCTTTGGAACAAAAGATCTATCAAGCCTTCATATTTAAAAATACATTTAAACCTAGAATAGTGTTTGCAATATAACTTCTGGATATAATTACAGTACAATTTGCCTGATATTGGCATGGTATATATTGCTAATCCTAACCAAGATATTACTGTATTTTCATACTTTCTTTAACAATGTGCTTACAAAGATTTTTTTTTTCTAATAAAGTAGACATAATAACAGTATCAGACGTTTTATTTTACTTTTGAAATTCAGAATCTGTTAAAATAGTCTTTTTAAATGTGATTCGGATGTAGTTGTATCCCCTCAAAAGTTAGGCAAAAAGCAAAATTGACCGCTCATAGGATGTTCTTGATAAATATGCTTGTAGGCAGCTTTAAAATGTGAACTACCAAAATTTTACAGCAAACCAGTCCCTGGCTAACTATCTTAAACTTGAATCCCTGGTGCATCGTTGCAGTTTCACTTTGGAATTGTTCAGTTTCTTGCTTGCTGTAGTGCATATGCTTGATTCTGGTGGAAAACATTTGTTTTTTTCTTCCTTACTTATAAATGAACCTTGTTGCAGGAGTAATTTTATTAGATGGAACATTTTCATAGAGCCTCATTTATTTACTTTTATTTTGCAGAAAAGAGAATTCGATGTGGACAGTCTCAGCAAATCAGAATTGAGGATGCTTCTGAGTATTTTAGAAGGGGAGTTGGAAGCACGAGATCTTGTGATTGAAGCTTTGAGGGTATGTCATTGATTTATTATAGATACATTTTTCAGTCTAGAACAAAAATATCGCAGAGATGTAATGATTTTAGTAATTATAGATGAATAATTAAATTTCAGTATCAGAATGGATGGTACTTGATGAACTGTGGAATTTCTGTTCAGGCTTCAGGATTGTTGGTATAGTGTTGGAGCAGGATCTTTCAAAAGATTATCCTGCAATGTCTGATTAAACAATACACTGATAATCAATACAAAAAATACTGGGCAAGTTTCACTACGGTCAAGCCCTTTGTGGCTCATAACTTCAAGTACCAATTGGATTTTCTGAGCAATCGTGTAAGCTAATTTACTAAAATTGTGCAAATTACTACCCAAATAATTTTTGTATATAGCTAAAATCTTTCTCAGACCCATCTTCTCTTCACCTCACTTCCTCTGGACTCCGGGACCTCTTCTGTAATGGCTTTGTTTCTAACCCGAATTGCATTGGTGCCTTTTCTGTATTTCCTAAGTCTATAGGCATTCGATCACAACCAGATGATTTTTGGGACTGGGGAGGGGGAAATTTCTTTTTAAATGAATGAATAGAAACTATATATACTCCATAGAGGGACAAAGAGTAGAGTCTACTCCGGCTACTACTAGAACAACAACTAAAATTCTCAGCAAAAGGATTCCGACTACTGAGAGTTAAGCTGTTTCTACCTGTCTATACGTGATTGTTCCATCTTGATTAACAAGTCCGGGCTGTGATTTATTTTATTACTTTATGTTATTATATTTTATTATTTTATTTTTTATTCTCTGTTTTATTATTTGACGATTCCTGGCAATTGCCTGGACTAGACTCTTCAAATTTTGGGGCAAGATTTCAGAAGTGGCTTGCCTTTGCCTGCTTCCTAGAGCTGAAAGACTCTCACTAGCCCATGTCACCCAGCTGAGTTTGGACTTAAATTGTAATTTGGACTCCTGGTTTCTAGCCTAGCGCCATAACTATTTCCCCAGACTGGGTCTCTCTTCTGGACTGTGATAGAAACTACTAAATAAATAGTGAGAATCTTGTGTAATGTGGATTTTCTGAGCAGAACTGAAGGGGCATTTTCTTTCCATTCTTGCAGTCCATCATTTTTGCGTCTCCTTTTGCATGAAATGGAATATGTCCCATAGATGCTTTTGCATAAGAAGATTCTATTAAGTCCTCGAAAAGATTACTCTAATTTAAGTTTTAAGTGACTTATTCATTTGCCTCTAACGCCTTTTCACATCCACTGTGATCTCTGAATTCTCTGCTTCAATTATCATTATCTTACTTTTCCATACCTAGGAAAGGTAAAATAATGATACTTATTTTCAAGTATTATTTATTAGGCATTATTTTTTTTAATTATTTATTCTTTTATAATAAATTATTTATTATTTATTTGGGCATTATTTTAGGATCAAAATAAACTTCTTCTAAATTACAATCCCTGTCAGATTGAAATTTTCTGTAAAAAAAAACATTCTCCCACAGCCTGAATACTTTTGCGTAGGAAGCATTCTTACTTAACAGAGGTATTCACTGACATTATCTGATTCTGTTCTGTTGTGAGTTTTTACTGGGTTTTTTATATTTAATTTTGTGCAACAAAGCAGGCAACACAAACATCACAGTCAATTTAGGAAATAAATGAATGCTTTTGTCAGTAAGTTATCTGCCAGTGAGAAGAATCATATATGACAATAATTTCAGACCTCAAAATGAGATAATTGGATGTGGCAGTTATATGTCATTCTGAATTTACTGGTATAAATGGTTTTAATTGTTTTGGAGTTATATACTATATTTGAGATAAGCCCCATGGGATATATGAGGTTTCTTCCTGAATTAACATAGAATTTAACAAGGAATTTCTTAAACAGTTACTTCTATCATTTTCTGTAAAAACAACTACAAAGTTTACTCACGTGAATTTCCTTTTCATGAAGGTTTAATTTTATATTGTTAAACGTAGGAGATTGTGTTGAGGAGACAGGGGAGGGCTATCTCTAGACACAAACAAGGAACAGATGGAAGAGGCCCTTTATGGTTTATCAGAGAAACCAATAGCTTGTCATGCAAACCATTTGGGAAAAAAATGAAAAAGCTTCAGAGACCTCAATGAACTCGATATTGAAAGAGAGCTGGAGTTTTCCTATCTCAGTCCCCAATATTTTACACTCTTAATTCTTGGCAGAAAAACAAATGGAAGAAATTTCACACAAATTGTGTGGAACCTGCTTCCTTAGCTATGTTCTGCAATGAAGTAAGATTCAGGGAAAAATTGCACTTTGGGGAGACAATGTTTTAGTTCGAGTACCCATAGGTTGTGAGTTATAATTGGTTCTCAGTAAAGTTCAAGGGTCTTGAAAGGGAGATATCAAACTACCCAGTGTGACATCTAAACAATTTTCTTCTCACATACGTATAGAATTGGTGTGTCATTCTTTTTTTAAAAAAATATTTTTTATTAATTTTCTTTTTTTTTTACATCGCAAAACATCATGGTATCAACAACGTTCTTGGCATCTATACAAGATTTTGATTTAAATATCATAATACATTATATTACATTTATCTACTATTAAATAATATCTTTAGCTATAATTACTATTCTTATATCTTTATATAGTTTGCAAAATTTTATTTTACTTTCTTAAGGGTTGTTTCAATTAATTTATACCAATTGTTCCAAATTTTAAAGAATTCAGAGTCGTCTTTTTCTTTCAATTTCATTGTTAGCATTTTCATCTCAGCACTTTCTGTTACTTTGTGTATTATTAGTTCTTCATTAGGGGTATTTGGTGTTTTCCATACCTGCGCAAAAGCTACTCTGGCAGCTGTTATAATATGTAACACTAGGTATTTTACTTCTTTTGGTCGTCTTTCTTTAATAATTCCTAATAGGAAGGATTCCGATCTGACCTCAATCTGATAGCCAGTAATCTCTTTTAACCAATTTTTAATTTGGATCCAGTATGTCCTGGCCTCGGGGCACATCCACCGCATGTGATAAAATGTACCATCAACTTTCTTGCACTTCCAAAATTTAGGACTCATATTGGAGTAGATTTTTTCCAATCTTGTTGGGCTAAATACCATCTATAAAACATTTTATATATGTTTTCTTTGTATGCGGCAGAGACTGTTAATTTATAATTTTTATTCCATATTTTTTCCCATTCCTCTAATTCTATAGTGTATCCAAAATTCTGTGCCCATGCAATCATTGTACTTTTGACTATTTCCTCTTCCGTTTTAAAATCTAATAAATATTTATATATTTTAGTTATAAATTTTTGTTCTGGTCCCATTAATATTTTATCTGGTTCTGCCCTTTGTCAAATCCAAAATCTTTTGAGTCTTTTTATATTTATTTTGAATTTGCAAATATGGCCACCAATCGATTATAATTCCGTTTTCTTTCAGTTCTTGGTTTGATTTTCCTTTTCCTTGTCTATCTAATAATTCTTCATAGCTTACCATTTTCCGTAGGTCTAATCTATTTGGATGTATTATGGCTTCCATGGTTGACAGCCATCATGGGATTTCTGTATAGTGTTTACCTTTGATTTTTTTTCCAAATTGTAATCAATGAATCTCTTATTAGGTGTTGATTGAAATAGGTATGTATATTACTTTTATTTTCCCTCAAAAATGCATGCCAACCTACCAAGAGGTCATGTCCTTCTAATGTTAAGATTCTCTTGTCTCTTAATTTAATCCAATCCTCAATCCAACTCAACACCGCTGCCTGATAATAAAGTTCCCATTCTGGTAGTCCTAGACCGCCTCTGCTCCTATTATCTTGTAATAGTTTCATTTTAATACATGGCTGCTTGCCCAACCAGACAAACTTGGATGTCAATTTATTTAGTTCTATAAAAAAAGATTTCCCTAATTTAATTGGAATCATTTGGAATAGATATATTAATTTTGGTAAGGTATTCATTTTCAACGTTACTATTCTTCCTAATATAGACAGTTTCAATTTGGCCCATAATTCCAATTCTTTTCTTATTTGCTTAATCAGTTTGACATAATTGTCCTCTTTTAATTATGAACATCTGGGTGATATCCAAATTGCCAGGTATTTCCACCTTTTTTACTATTTGCAGTCCTATTGTATTTTCTAATTCTACTTTCTGCTTTGTTGTACAGTTTTTGACTATCATCTTAGTTTTATTTTTATTTATTTTAAATCCTACTACTTCCCCAAATTTTTCTATTTGTTGCAACAATATTGGTCCCAAATTCGTGGATCTTCCACTACAAATATCAAATCATCAGCAAATGCCTGAACTTTATATTCCTCATTTCTAATCTTAATTCCATAAATCTCTGGGTTTTGTCTGGTTGCAGCAGGCAACACTTCTAAAGACAAGATAAATAACAGAGGCGATAAAGGACACCCTTGTCTCACTCCTTTTGCAATTTCAAAATCTTCAGTACGGTCTCTATTTAATAATACACTTGCTTTTTGATTTGAGTATATTTCTTGTAGTGTTTTTTCTATATTAGTGCCAAAATTCAGCTTTTTAATTTGATATAGCATGAATTTCCAATTAAGATTGTCAAATGCTTTTTGTGCATCTAAACAAATTAAAGCTGCCTGTTTTTCTGGATGAGCTTCATAGAATTCAGTCGAATTTAGTACTGTCCTAATATTGTTTTTAATTTGTCTATTTGGCAGGAAACCATTCTGGTCTGTGTGTATAAGTTCACTTAAAATTGGTTTCATTCTTTCTGCTAATATTGTCATAAATATCTTATAATCCGTATTTAGTAACGAGATTGGCCTTTAGTTCACAATTAATTGTTGATCAGTGCCATCTTTTGCAAGTAAGGAGATGTATGCCTCGGACCAGGACCTCGGAAGTCTAGCTTGCGTTAATGCCTCATTATATAGTTCTAGTAATATTGGTTCAAATATTTCAGATAAATTTTTATATAGTTCGCCTGGTAGACCATCCGGGCCGAGTGTTTTATTATTTTTT